AAAGAAAGAAAGAAAGAAAACAGCGTGATTTTGTAAAGTTAAGACGGTAAAACAGGCCTCATTTTCTTACAAAAGCTCTCCTGTGCCCCAGTGACATTGCCAAATTATGTACTTAGTGTGAGCAATTCAGAACTGCCATCCTGGCAGGGCGAAGTAATAAAGGTAGAAGAAGTAAGCTTCTCCTAGTGGATCTTGTCACCAATAGAAGCCATAAGCCACAGAGGAGAGGAAGCCTGCAGTCTGCAGGTGCAGAGGGACAAGTCTAGAAAATGATGCTATCACGTGGATTGAAAGAGAAAGTGAGGTGGATGGTAAGCCTGGGAGATGGTAGACAAGGTAACCCCAGAGATGAAGGAGAAATAGGACAAAGAAACATTTGCTGGAGAAGGACCACAGTTCCGAGTGCCCTTTCATCTTGGACCCTCACTTGAATTAGGTCCCAGTTGAGGTCAGTGCTGCACACCTTTCCCGAGCCCTTTGGGTTCCAGGTGGAGCTCTCCGACCACCACCTTGAATCTGGATTTGGGTTGATCCAAGAAAAAAAAGCCGTTGATTTGGGTATGAGCAGTAGAGACCAGGGCTAGCGGATCCCAGATTCGAATTCCCAGACATTTTCTCAGGTTCCCAGCGCCTGTCTCTGCTTCAGGCCCCACAATGTGGGCCAGCACCACCCCCCATCACCACAACCAAATGGCAGCTATTAATCTCATGGTGTTCACCACTTTGCTACTTGCCAGTTATTTTGCTATAAAAATGACAATATTTATAATATAAATAACAAACTCACTGCTAAAAACAAAAGGCCCTTTACAAATGATTTAGCACATGATTTTTTCCTTATGTTGAATCAAATTTTCTTCCCGGTTCGGAAGTGTTTGCAGCTTAGGTCCAAGGAGGAATCCCAGGCTGGGAGTCAAAAGGCCCAGCTTCTGATCTCAGCCACTCCTTCCTCACTCTGTGACCTTGGGCAGGTAACAACTCCGAGCCACCATGTCTCCATAACAAGTGGATCGGGTAATGCAAGCTCTGTGTCTTTCCTAGGTTTGTGGAGAGAAGCAAAAGAAGTAACGGGGTGGAGACCACGCTGGTCCCTAAATGTACTGATTAGAAGAAACAACGCAGAAGGCATATGATCCTCCCCTGGCCTCTCAGTCACTCAAACTGCTAGTTCCTGCTATGTTTGCTATTACTAGTGTTAGGTGTTGCAGCCAACCTTCTGTCTGAAGGACCACGCTTGGCAAATGCCCAAAATAACATTTTTGGTTAATAAGAGTCAAGTTACTTCCCTCAGCATAAGGTAGGTTATGCTGAAAACATTTAGTGACTTCAAAAACCAAAGGTGTGTCTCTTGCTGGCACTTTAAATGTTCATCAAGGGTGTTGAGGGTCTTGTCCCTGTAACTGGATTCTCAGTCTGGAAGTGACACATTTCGCTTCCATTCAACTGCTTGTTGGCCGGAATTGACCGCACGGCCCTCCCCAATCTCACGGACCCAGGAAGTGCTAACCTGCCGCGGAAATCCTGAGACACGCACACGGCCCTCCAGTGATCCATGCCAACGTGGCACTTTGACTCTTGGTGTGGTGATGGAGTAACAAGCATCTATTGAGCACCTGCTGTATATCGGGAACGGTGCCTCTTCGGGAGGTGCAAAGTCAGACAAATTCTCTGCCCTCGATGGGGCACAGCATTAGAAATACACACTGGATGTTACATGAGCTTCAACAGGCCACTTACGCATCCCGAGGAGAGAGGGATGGATTCCTGGAGAGGTCCTACTGGAACAGTCAGCCATGAGGAAGAAAGGTGTTCCCTGCAGTCAGGACAGCATGAATCACGAAGGTGACAGCCAGCACCAAGGTGTGGGCCCTCCAGGAGAAACTTGGTGCTGGCGCAGCAGCTGTGAGGCACGTCGACAAGATGGGGGACACTGGGTGGATGGGGACCCGGTAAGGGGCAGTGATAGCATCCAGGGATGAGAGAGTAAGGCTTGTTACAGGGCAGGTGAAATAGGGATAGAGGGAGACCTTAAGGTTCTAGAGACTATGAAATGCTGGCCTTCAGCTCCCAGCACCCCCAGAAGCAGCAGAGCAGAGAGGGAGGGGTACCATGCAGCCAGCAGGAGAGACCTGGCCACTGTGTCCTCCCTCTTAGAAGCCAGCCTTCTTAGGTTTAGTGTAACCTCCCCCCCCCGCCACCCCCCCGCCCTGCCCACTTAATGGCTGTGTTAGTGATTTGCCCCCTCTATGCTTTGGTGTCCCCATCTTCAAAATGAGAATCATAATAGACAACTCATATCTATGAGATTAAATGGGTTAATGTGTATGAAGAGTTCAGGACAGGGACTGTGGCATCTGGCCAGGGCTGCAGAGTATGGACCGTGCCTCCCAGTGTCCGAGGGAGGTTCCTGCCTCTCCCAGCCAGGCCTGGCCGGTTCTGCCAGCTGAAATGTCAACATGGGCGGGTCCTGTCTGAAGTCCCTTCGGACAAAGGAGGCTTTGCCCGGGTGTGGGGACGGGGCGAGCTTAGCAGGGTCCCTTTCTGTTTGCCTCGCAGGGGCCTTCCTTTTCTGGCTGGCAGGGTGGGCGGCTCTGAGCAGCAGCCAGCCTCTGCTGAGTCATCCTGCCCCGCCTCTCTGGGCTGGGGTCAGCCCCAGGTTCCTAGAGGAGGAGCCAGCGCCCCTGGAGCTATTTCTGTTGGTGGGGGGAAGGAATAGCATTTTATTTGGGGGATCAAAAAGCCTCCCGAAGAAACAATAGAGGCTTTTATTTTTTTTTTAAATGGGCACGGCGGGCTGTTTGCCAAAGCCCAGCCTGCCAAATCATGCCCCTGGAGGAGGGACTGTTGTCACCGGGCTTTCTGCCATGAATTTGCAGTCCTTGAATGGAGCAGGAAGCAACAGACAAGGAGGACCTGGGTTCCCATCTTATTTTTATCGCTTAAGAGACATGTGCCCTTGGTGGGGCTTTAGAGACTCTGGATTTTACTTCCGCAGCTACACGCGCTGAGTAATAACAATCGCTGGCCTTTTGTGAGCGCTGGGTATGTGCCAGGCTCCCTACAAGCTTTCAAAGCGTCTGTCATTCAGTCCTTACCAACTTCTGACAGAGGTTCTCTTCTTACTTCTCTCTAACCCTGAGGACACTGACTCCTAGAGAGGCTGAGTCACAGGTGTGAAGACACCCAGCGGGAGGTGGTGAAGCAGGCCATCTGATGCCAGGGCCCGCTCTGTCGGCAGGTGCCCCTGGCATGAGGCTGTGGAGACTGGTGAGGTCGTGTGCATCAGCGAGTGGGTGAGAAACTGCCTCAGCCACTATTATCACATTAGTCACTCCTTTAACACAGGTGTGAGTATTTATTCCTTTAAAACAAACAAGCAACAGCAAACACACAACGTAGCAATGCCGTTTTTTAGGCTGGTTTTGGTCCTGAATGAGGCAAGGATTCGTCTTGCTCCTGGGCACACACAGAATGATGACGTGGAAGGTCTGTGGGCAGAGAACACAGGGACAAGGACACACCCAGCCACATACTTGACCCGGTTATATCTGCTTCTGAGCTGGCTTGAGCTGACTTTGTTTTGAAGCAGCTTGACCTTCAGTTTGCATGTCCTTATTCCGTGATTCAGGGCTTGAGTGTGTAGGCTGTGGAAATTGCACGGATTCCAGACAGGCTTACCGCATTTAAAATGCCACTGACAGGTGGGTGACATTGAAATTTTAGCCCCACGTGGGTCAAAGAGCCTACTCCTTAGCGAGCAAAAACTTTCCTAAACCAACTCAGAACCAGGTTGTTTTGCTTGCTCGCACATGGCCTGATAACACCAGGGCTCCTTGGCGTTGCTTTGCAAGAGTTTCCAAGAAGGCAGATTCACTCCTCTTCCAGTTCCCCCTCCCAGCTCCCCAGAACTAGTCCAGCTGCTGAAGCCACAAGCACATTCTTCACTTGTTCACCGTCAACATCAAATTACCAGGCAAGTAGGTTCTGACCAGGCCTGTCAATACACAAAGTTAATTAAAAAAAAAAAAAAAAGGTAAGTGACCTAGTTTCCTGCAGCATGTGTCATTTTGGGGTTTTCCCTTCCCCTACACAGAGAGCACTGGACACACTGAGGAGGAGGATGTCAGCTCGCTCTGCAAGCGACAGGGAGATGGATTGGCAGGATCTGCTGCTTGGAGCTTGGGATCTGACTGCCATTTGGGCTCCTGTCGGAGTTACTGTTGGGACAATTAATCTTCAATTTATGGCTGCGCCTTCTTGGGGGCTGAGTTTTCTTGTTCTGTTTTGTTCGGCATGGCATTCAAGATTCCTTTACAGAATTCCGTGTTGGGGAAGGAAATGTTATGTGAATTATGTCCTTGTGAAGTCACCATCTGGCCAACATTCATCTTGCTTCATGAAATACCAAGGATATATCCGTCGGCACAGATGCTGAGCCAAATCATGGCGCACGAGTGACCGCAGTCATAAACCAACACTCTATCGAGTGTAATTAACGCACCTGGTGCCCACTTCGGAGTCCCCATCCTGCCCTGGCACAGTAGTTAGCTTTTCTTTTCATACATGGGGTTTGCTTTTGTTTTCTTTCCTTTTGAGGGCGGAGACAGAGGTTTGCAGCCTGAATCAGCCCCAGCAACTTCGGCAATAATTAAGTCACCTTCATGGGTCTGGTAAAATGGGACTGCTTGTGTGTGCTCAAGAGGCTACGTCACATGCAAATAATGCAACACTGAGCAGCTTCCCGTGGCTTGAAGAGGCCATTGTCCTGGGCACCTGGAATCCACCCACTGTTGGCGTTCACTGGCTTTGGGAGGCCAGGACCAGCCACTGGTCTCCCAGTGGTTTTGTGCTAGACGGAATAAGTGAGGGATCCCAAGCTTGGAAAAATAAAAGATACACAAAGCAACCCACCATGACTTCCCCATGAGCAGAATTTCACAGCCTCCTTCCTCTCTTCCTGTACCAGTCCTGCCTGGTAGGGTTTTAAAGTGGTGATGGGCTGGGAGGGACACATCCTGTTCTGAGGAATGGAAATGCTAGGAAGCCATGAATACTCAAAGAGAGGACAGAGGCCAGCGAGGAGTCACACGTGGGACATGGGGGAGCAGAGTTTGCAGAAGGCCTAATGGTTGATAGTGACTGCAGGTCGTGATGGGATGGGGATGTCCACAGGCCCCTCCTACCTCAAGAGCCTTGATGGTGTTGGGGTGCAGGAGGCAAGGAGGGTCTTGATCCTGGGTTCAGGGACCTGGAGGAACCCTGAACTGGGTTTCTTCACAGTGTTCCCTCTCTGCACATAGGGAAGGAACGGTCCTCTCACAGTGACCTTGCTGTGGGTGGTACAGCCTGGGGCAGATGGCAACTTCAAGCTTATCCTCCCGTGTCATGTCACTTCTGCATGGAAATAGAAAAATTGCAGGCAGCAATTAAGGGTTTCAAAAGCCCTTGAGTGTCATTAGGGGCTTGTCACTGCCGTTCTCTGAGCTCCACGATGAATGGCTCCCAATTGTCTCCTATCAAATTAAAGCCCCTTATCATAGGCTGGAGTATCCTCTGCTAATTGACTTCTGCTTACCTAACTCATCTTTTATTTTGAGGCACCTTGTCCTATCGCATAAGCACCGTCTCCAAAGCCTTCTAATTGCCAGCTCTCTTTAAAATCAATTCCATTCAACAGATGTGCTTTGGATTTCTACTCCTGAGCCAGGCCCCAATAGACAGGGAGGCAGTTAGGTAAACGAATCCAACGCCATAGGCATCACGATATAGGAAGCATTTCGTAGTGTCAAACAGAAGAGGTGATAATTTGAATTTCAGTTCAAACTCAGGAGCTGAATCATCTCGAGACAAGTTACTTAAACTCTCCAACCCTCAGTTCAGGAAACTCGGGAGTAGGGAAGAGTGGGGATAGTAATGCAGAGTTGCTCTAGGAATTGAAAAGGAGATTTTTATCTGTCTATTGACTTATCTCTATATATCACACACACACACACACACACACACACACACACACACACACACACACACACAACCCTCCAGAGCCCATTGTTATTTTAACTGCAATTCAGATGGAGCGCGAGGGAGGAGGAGTTATCTATGCCTATAGAAATCTTCCAAAGGCTTCAAGAAGAGGAAAGACACAGCTCACATCTCTCCTCTTCCAGTAGACATGAGGGCAAAGGGCAGTTCTAGGGTCCGAAGTACATTTACAAAATCAGCGAGGCAGGGAACAGACAGGCATGCTCCAGGAACGGCACGTACACCAGGTGCCCTGGCTTCCAGGGGGTCTGGGGTGGGGCAGCGTGTAGAAGATGGTCCTAGAGACAAAGCTGGTAGCGAGGTCAACCCCAGCCAATGCCCAGGCCCCTCATCTGGCAGGCTGCTGCCAGAATGTGCCTCCCCCATCTTTTCCATATCGTGTGATTCCTTCTCTCCTTCTCCATACAACTCAGACTCAGTATTTCCATGCTGACTTATCTGCTTCCAAGTCCTGTACAGCCCAGCACTGCTCTGGGCTGGTCAAACATCATCTGTTACAGACAAGGTGTCTGGCTTGTAAAGTCCTCTAGGAGGGGAACCTCACAGAGGACTGCCTTTATAACCACATTTCAGCAGCACTTTGCATACAGAGGCAGTTTCGTAGACGCTGTTGCTTCACAGGTAGGCTCTTAATTAGCAGATGGGGTGTAGGGCTGCGAAGAACAGGCTCAGTGATGGGACAGCAGAGCCCAGATAGAGATCTGACACCCTTTTTCCGGTGACCTCAGATGAGTCATCAGCCCCTTTGATCCTAACTTTTTGTATCACCAGTACAAGGGCCACCTGTTTCTGAGAAGGTTGTGAGAAGTAGGGAGGAGGCCCAGGGACTTTGGGAGGAACCAAAAGCAGATCTTTATTTCCCTGGCCGAGGCTGGGAAAGAGCCTGTTAGGTTCCATGGGCTTGTTTGTCCCACGGGCTTGGAGTCCCTGAAGCTGCACACCTCCCCTCTCCTTCTCCAGCAAAAAAAGTCCCAGCTGGGCTTTCTTTCAGCAGCCATGGTGTGTTGATGTCACACTTTGGACCCTTTTGTCAGGAGGTAGTGTGTGCAGTGGTAACTAATACAGCTTTGGTGGTGACCGTCCCAGAACCCTGGGAGGCGGGAGCCTGGGTTCAGACGGCTTGACACTTGCTTCAGTGTCAGTAAGTGACTGCTCTGGGGTTGAAATGGAAAATTTTATGACACCAAGTTCGTGCTCTTTTTACTGTCTGACCTAGTGAAGATGTCCGTTGTGTAAAAACACATAGAATCAAGAGCCCCAGGGAAATGAAGTATGAAGACTGGATCTTGCAAGTGTCAAACTTGAAAACGGTGGGGAGGGGCCATGACAGCAAACGGGGAGAGGAGTGGTGACCCTTTGGTATGGGGAGAGGGAAAGGCGCAGTTTAGAATGTAGAGTTGGAGGTCTAGCATTAAAATCTAGGCCACCAGAGAGAGGAAAGAGAGGGAACTGGGCAGAGGGCGTGGACGAGGTTCAAGGTGATGAAGGATCAGTCATCGCTCAGGGAGAGCTTGGGGAACGGCCACTGAGTGCACGTGAAGAATTATATGGACACCAACTCTGCACAAAGTGAAACAGGGCTCCTGACTTTAAGAAGAAGGTGCTGTCTCCCTAACTATGCTTACTGTGTATGAAAGGGCATCTGGGCATCATCAGTCTGATTGCAGAAAAAAGCCCTTGATGGTCACACACACACACACAGAGTCTTGCTGGGCTACAAAGCGTGTCTTCACTTTCTCATGTTTACCTGTTCTTCTATGCAAAATCGACCTGGAAGGGCTGCTAGGTGTCTTACCCTGTCTTGCAAACCCCCCTGTTCTCCACCTCCACAGCCCCTTGTCTTTGCAACCCTGAGGGACTGCCTTGGGACCCTAACGTTCTCTGTCTGCTTTCTTTCTCCAGCCTGGAGCAATGATGTTAGATCCTCCAAGTTTCAGATCCTTCAGATTCTTCACAGAGGAGTCTCCACCACACAGACAGGTATCTCCTTTGTTAATATCCCCACTTTCACTGAATAACTTCACTGTGCTATTATGCCAAGAGAATCCCATCCAATGACTTGGTTATGTTAAAGATCTCTCTTATGGATTGCAAAGTTCTGTTCCCCCCAAACATATGTGGAAGCCCTAACCCTCCATGTGATGGTATTCGGAGATGGGGCTTTTAGGGTTAGAAGAAGTCATTAAGAGTGGGGGTCCCATGATACACTTAGAGCTCTTATAAGAAGAGGAAGCATTAAACCAGAACTTCCTCTCTTTGCCATGTGAGGACAGAGTGAGAAGGCAGCTGTCTGTAAGCCAGGAAGAGAGCCCTCACCAGGAACTGAATCTGCTCATACCTTGATCTTGAACTTCCACCTCTCCCCACCCCCAGAACTGTGAGAAATAAACGTCTGTTGTTTGAGCCACCAGTTTATGGTATTTTGTCACAGCAGTCCAAGATTATAAGACAATCTCGTCCCCTCAAAATGTGAGGGGAGAAGGAAGAAAGGAGTTGAAAGGTAAAGGACAATCCAGAAATGCTAATTCTTGAGAAGGGCATTGGATGGGAAGACGTGCGACCACTTCTTCCATGAAGCCCTCCTTGACCTCTTCAGCTTGAGTTGACACTGACCACACACACAAGCTCAGCTGTCACCTCTGCCATGTTGAATGGCACTGACTTGTGTGCCTATATCCCTCGCAGTTGACTCTGAGCTCTTTACCACTGGGCCTTGCCTTATTTGTTTTGTGTTCTGTGCACACTGCTGGCACCTAAGAGGACCCCCAAAAGTGCCCGCTGCGTTGAACGTATAGCATGAGGCACTATAGGATAAGTCTTACAGGAATGTCACTTGAGGACATAGATGTCTCAGATCCAGCACAGCATAGCAGTTAAGAGTGCAGTTCCTGTGTCAGAAGGCTTAGAGTAGGATCCACCCTTCCCCACTTAGCTGCCTGACCCTGCCTGGGCAAGTTCCTGGGTCTTGTTAAGTCTAAGTTTCTAAGACTATAAAATAGAGGTACTAAGGATCCTTACTTCCTGAGGCTGCGTGTATCAGCTGAAATTACCCATGTAAATAGTACTGGGCCCATGGTAAATGCTCAATAAATCTCAGCTGTTATTATTTTCCAAGGAGGCAGAGGGGAGGGAGATTGCTTTGTGTGATGAGCAGGGACATGGAGGGTGAGGGTCGATATGCTGCGAACTGGGTATGGGCTAGCACCTGCCACGTGTTTGCTTATCTCATTCTCAGCCCAAGTATGAAAAGAAGGGATTATTATCTCTGTGGTAAAGATGAACAGACTGAGGCTCAGGGAAATTCTGCAAACCTCCTCAAGGTCACACAGCTAATAAATCACAGAGCTTGGGCTTAAACTCTAGCTTACTTGACCTCAGAGCAAGACATTATAGGCATAGGTAAAGTCTCAGGAGCAGAAAAGCCCAAGGTCATCCAGACTCTGGCTCCAAGAGAAGGTGCCTGTGAAGGCAGGAGCACGAATGAGGGGAAGAAAAGGCCAGCGGGCCCTGGGGCGTTCTCCAACGCCAGGCCGAGGAGATACGATTGTTCCCATAAATGTTACAATGCCATTTCAGGGGCGGGTATATGGAAGAAAGCTGATGAAAGGGGTGGAAAGGACTCTAGATTGTACTCTAGTCCTTGTCATTTATAGTTGAAGATCTCAGCTGTGTTATATCCACGGGAACAGTCGAGATAAAGAGAGGCTTGGTGCTGGCCGCTGTCCCTCTGTGTTCTGGAAATGCTCAGCCTTTGCTTGTATCCACTGCTGCTGTTTGCTGGATTTCCAACTCAAATTTCAGTGTCTGGATGCTCGGCAAACAGCAGCCAGACCTGGCTGGGAGGGAAATGACGCCCATGAGAATACTGTTAAAGAAGCTACTGCTTCCTCTGAGAGCAGCCTAAGCTGAAGAAGGCTGCTGGGCAAGGGGACTCCTGTCCTAAGAAGTTGTGTGTGTCCCGGGATTCAAAGCAAGGCTCCCAGCGTCTCAGCCACTCAGTAATTCAACCTTGTCTCACCTCTCAGAACTTCAGCTCCCACTGAGAAAACTGAAAGACCACAGTGCCATCTTCTCTAACTGTTCTGAGGTATCAAGCGAGCAAAGTATAAAACATGCAAAATCACGTGTTTGTAAAAAGACCCAAACCATTCTCCAAGCATTCGATTTGCCAGCTTGGTAACTTTCTTCCTCCTACTCCCACCCCAAAGTAGACTCGATTAAATTCAATACTTAAGTTTAATACCAGAAACATGCATAGGGCGCCATAGTAGGCAGTGGGTATGCAGACATGAGTGAGAAAAGCCTGTCCCTAAGTATCTCCCTCATTAGCAGAGGAACTCTGGACATGAGCAAACCCGTTGCTGAGCAGCCTGGATGTCATCAGATGCCTCCCGCATTGCTTCCATTGGCCAGCTTCCTGACCTTTGTTTTTTCATTTAACCTTTAAAACGATCTTGTCTCAGAGTTTTCAAAACCAACGTTCATCAAGAGAAATGTGCCCAAGGCCCCCCAGCTACTAAGTGGCACAGCCAGAATTCTGTGGTGGCCCCAAACTTAGAAACCTTTCTTCTGCCAGCTGGCCTTACAATGAGCAAACATCACTGCTCTCACATTTGCCTCCCATTCCCCATCCACATGGCAGCTTTACTCCTGGCCCCAGTCGTTTCTTACAGAGGTGAATTAAATAACCAGCAAACCCAGGCCTCCCTTGCTACTTGTCAATCCATCTTCCCCATGGTCACCAGGGTGAACCTTCTCGAACACAGATATAATTGTGTCACCACTGTTTAACCCTCTATCGGGCACAACTGATCTCACAGATCCATTGCACACAAATTTTCAAGTATGAAATATGTCTTTACTGTTCTAAGTCACAGACCCGACTGGTGATAGGTTACGGTAGATGGGGAAGATACAGAAGCGATGAGTCACGATACTTAAGTTAACTGTTAGATATTTGAAAATTTGTGTGCAATGAATCTGTGAGATCAGTTGCGCCCAACGGAGGGTTAAAACTCTAAATTGCTTCTTTTGTCCATGAGATAAGGTAGAAATTCCTTGACATGTCATGTAAAGCCCTTTCTGATATTCCCTTTGCAACCCCCTTTTAATGGCCTCCTGCACACTCTAGCCAAGCAAACAGGACCACAGATATGGCCCCACCCATCAAGTCTTTCTTGAGTTCTTATGTTGGAATTCCATTCTTCTGTTCATCTGTCTAAGAAGACCCTACTGCGCCTCAGAATTGAAGGTGTCCTCTTACAGGAAGCTTGTCCGAGCCACCGTATGCCCAGTTAACCAACCCACTCCTGGTACTGTCGACTGTAATTGCTACTTCTATTATGAGGAAGTTGATCTGATGAACAATGATGCCCAGAAATGAGGCGAGACAGGGGAGGAGCATTTATCTCTCTGTGGTCTTGGGGAACATGTCACGGAAGAGGTGGTAACAGAGCTGGATTTTGAAGGAAGAAGTGACTGCATTTAGCTCACCATGCCCTGAACTCTCAGCTGTCACCAAGGAGAATGTCAATATTGAGGCCTGTCAAATAGGAAGAAGGCAAAGCTCCTTAAATAAACCATGGACAGTGGTGTCTTTGATTCCCCAGGTTGTGCTACTAGCTGGTGGCCAGTCTGGCAATGAGCCAGGTGTCCCTCAGCACTTGGCCATTTTAAGAGACTTAGCACAAGTGGCCAGTGTGGGTGAATTTGATATTTACTGAGACTCTTCCCCTCTAGAAATATCAAGTTCCAGCCATCAGGGAGGGCACTGTGGACTGTGGATGTTATCATTTTACTGACTGGGGACATCTTTTGTTGCCATTAGAAAATAAACACCAACCTTCCAACTCTGCCTTGATCGGTCCTGGGATGCTCATAAAACGGCATCACCTGGGGTGTTTTTCTCTGGGCATCCAGAAGCAGCTTCCTTGAGACCTGACTTGGCCAGTTGGAGGGCAAAGAAAACAAAGAAGCAGTGACCATATCATAATCATCATCACCACACTATATCCTCTAAGGACCTATAGAGATAAGACGACTGAGAACCATCTCCTATTTGGTCCTATCTAACTTCCAGCATGCCAAGTAAGGACTTCCTTGTTCCCAGGAAGACAATTCTCTATTCCCACAGTTCATATTTTAGTGCTCTTGCAACCCATCTTTTGTTTTGTTTTGTTTTGTTTTCACTTTTTAAAATGTCCACCACATCCCTTCTACTCCAACCCCTTAATCTTAGTCCAAATGAGCACTTGCGCTGTTGTTTTTCATGTATTTTGAATACGAATAAGTTGTAATTGTATCTTCTTCCCCTAAACACATCTTTTTAAGACTTACATTTTTGTTAAGGTCAACCCCCTATTCTCTCCTTTTATTTACAGTGCTTCTGCTCCTTTTAGAATGTGTGTCATACTAGCAGGCTTATTAATTCCCTGCTGCTGAGGGTGGATTAGGCCATCTGTCACGGATCCTCACCTGATGATGACAATATTAACAACTACCTCTTATGATGGCCTGGGTACTAGTCCAGCGCTGGGCTTGACTCCTGACCTGAGTTCATTCATTGTTACAATGACCTCGGCCTTTGGTGTTACTCTTGTTCCCAATTTACAGGTTTGGCAATGAGGTTTAGAGGGGCTACGTGACATGTTGAAGGTCAGTTAGTGAACGACAGAATCTGGCTGCCTCCAAAACCAAAGTTCACAACCCACACTCCATTGTATCCTGAGCCTTTGTTGATGCCTGCTTTTATATCTCCCATTAAAAAAAAGTTACAACAAATAAAGAGCAAATAAGATCTGAGAGACGAAAATGCTGGACACCCTGAAATTGTCCTTACCCCACCTTTAAGGCCTCCCTGCAGGGGTGAAATTCAATTTCCTTCGTTAAATCTATTTGAAATCCTACTCAGGAGTTACAGTTTGACAAGTGGCTATAGCCACACACTCCAGCGAAGCCAGGGACAGCAGCCGCCTCACGTGCCAGCCATGGTCTTATTTTGTTCCCCTCCTGTTTGCCTGGAGTGATTTGTCCTTTATAAACCAGCCTCATCTGGGAATAGTGTGCATTTGTTAATTACCTTTACAGAGCCAGCAGATGGTGCCGAAAGCACTGGATTGTCTGTGGACCCAAGCCAAAAGGGAGAGAGGGAGGCATCTGTTTATTTGTTTAATTTCTTTGCAAGGAAATGGTGGGTATAAAAATAAAACCAGTCATCGCTAGGCATTTCAAAAAGAGGAACACTTCCACTGTGTCATAACAATGGTTTAAAATAAATTCTCTTTGTGTTTCCAAAGCCTTGGCCATCCAAAGAAGTATTTGAAACCAGGAGCTGGCCATGTTGGATTCAGTGAGGGCCCATCATCCAATCTTGGATGCTGGCCAAATGTACCTGTCAGAGGGAAGCAAAATTGCCCATCACAGTCCTGATACTATCCTAGGTATGGAAACCACCCAGCAAAGTGTGTCCCACATAGAGGATCGCACTATGTGACCCCCACCTTCTTCTCTAATAGCCAAAGGCCAGGTGAGTTTTAAATTAACAGAGGATAATGACCTCTCTTTCTAAACATTTGGAAGTAGGACTCCATAATGTTAGTCTATACCACTGTCCCTAAAATCAGAGAATATTCCAGGTGGAAGGGCCCTTAAAACCACCCCCCATCAAAATCACTCATTTCAGAGAGTAGGACATTGGAACCCAAACGCAAGGAAGCACTTTATTTCAAGTCACCAAGCTTATTAGTGACAGAACCAGAATCAGAAGTGAAGTGCCTATGTCTCTCACCATGCTGCCTAGCTCCCCTTCCCCAGCACTGCCAGGTGAGCAGAGGGTGGTGAGGGCCAGGGACACTCTGAAAAGACTCCGTGAGTTATATGAGCAAAGTCTTAGAAACTGCCAGCTATGGGAGGGACCTAAATGATCAAGCAGGCACATCACTTGAGAAATGAGAAATCATCTAGGGCAAAAGCACTGGGTATGAGAAACAGGGCAAGAAAGGTTGCTTAGGGGCCTGGCTGTGAAGGATCTTGTCATACAGCAGATGTGGCACAGAAAGATGAGTAGAAAACATTCATGGCTGAACCTGTGTCCAACATGGTGGTGATGTGAGGATAGGCCAGGAGGGGCAAGATTGGGGCAGAAGTGTCACCTTGAAAATAGATGAGAAGGGTCAGATTCAGGGTGGTGATACTGAAGTGAAAGTGGCTTTAGGGACTATTCTGTTCAAGGTCCCCAGTGATCTCCAGCTTGGACCTAACTTTTCTTGATAGCCGCTAACTTTTTCTTCAGATAATTCCTTAGGCTCCATGACACCGCACTGGACTGATTTTCCCCCTTCTTCAGTGGCCAGTCCTTGTCAGTTGATTCAGCTCCTTTAGCTGTGTTCCTCTAAAAGGTGTGGACCACAGGCACCCTCCTTGGCCTCCCCCTTTTCATCTTGACTCTTCTCACAGCTTTGAATATCATCTATGTACCAATAACTTCCAATTTTGTCTCTCCAGTACTTACCTTTGCCATCAAATTTACATGCATATATCCAACAACTTACCATCTAAAAGCCAGATGGATCTCTGGGGGCACAGAATTAGATAAATGAGAATCCTTGGTTCATTACACACTGTCGTGGTCAAGCCATATAATGAACACTCCAGAGGTAGGACCTAGACAGAGCTAGAACTTTTTACACCTGTCTACGTGCTGATTACCTGTTTACTTCCCTGTCCTTCTCACCTTGAGTTAATCAGGGTCTTACATTTTGCATTTGTCTTTTCCTTGTGGTTTTCTAAAACTCTTTTATCACATATATATTTATGCCTAAAAGAGACAGTTTTTGGTTTCAATTGTCACTGAATTGTATTTAAAGGTGTCATGCCACACATGGTCTTCACTGAATGTTATGTTACTGAGATCCATCCATATCATTCTATGGAATCTCACCCAATGATTTCCACTGCTGTACTATTCTGTTGTCTAAATATTCCACAATTATTTCTCCTGTCAATAGGCATTTGGGTTGTTTCTAGATTGCTATTAAAATTAGCACTGATTCCATTCTCCCTTCACTCTGCCTCCACTTTTATGATCCCCTCTCCTCTTTCCCCATGGCCTCAGTGTGTGAATAGTCTCCTAGCAGGATGGTAAAATCAGCCTGCTTTTGGAGTTCTGTTTGAAGCCAGATTTCCCAAGGGTAACCTACTTATCATCTGGGAACCCTCTGCCCCTTGAAATCTTGGTAACTTGATTCAAATCCCATAATTCCGTGGTCAGTGGGATTCCAAAGTACTCCCCACATATTTGTTTATTTCTGAAGTGCTTAAATTGTGCCAGGTTCCTCTGTCTTGGGAAAAATATGGAAGGCTTCTGGAAAATCTGAAGGTGAAACAAATCTGAGAGGGAGAGATAATAGGGTAAATGATAGAATCAAAATTCAAAATGACCTTGAGAGACAAAAGCCAAGGTGAAATCGGCACCATGAAGTTAGATAGGGACAAATGCAAGATTCTCTGTCTCAAGTTCTCTTTTTGTTTTTTAAAGTAAAATATAAAAATGAATGAAAAAAAATATATATGGCTTAAAAATAAGAAGTGGAAATCTCTTTGAATGAAGGAAGATAACATCAGTGATGATCCCGCCTCTCCCTAGAGGCCTAGAGGGAACTTCCATGGGACCAAACCCAACAGGGGGCTTGAGGGGGCACCTCAATCCAGGACACAGGCAGGGCACAAGGAAAGTCTTATATTTTGGTTTAAAATTGAATTGAAAATAAAGCATTTAGGAGTTGTGTGTCTCAGTCTAGGAACAGATCATGCATTTTATCATCTATAGGTAAAAGTCAAAACACTCTAGCACAGCATTTGAGTGAGCTGCTCTGACTTCTATCTACCTTCCCTTCTTAACTCCATAATTGCCTGTGACAAGTCAAGCTTGCAACGAAACAACTATTTAGAAAACTAACAAAATAGAGAATATCACAAGGAGTTTAAGTTCCAGATCAAAGGAAGTGATAAGCCTGCATTTTTCTGCATTGATTAAACCTTATCTGGAGTTCATTCTGTGTCAAGTTCTGTGCCTTACATTCTCAAAAAGACAATGACAAGATGAGGAAACCATCCAGCGCTGGGAGCTCACCAACCAGTACAGGAGTGTACCTTGCAAGACTAGGATATACATTTTGCTCAGCGAAATCTTCTAGCTCCCTTGATTTCTATTTTCAAATGTTTGAAAGGCCAAATGTAGATGATAGAGCAGGCCTATTTCAGAAGAAAATCTAGAGCCAGTGGGTGAACCCCTACAGGAAGTGAGACCTAGCTCTGCGTAAGCATTAACTCTCAAAGGAATTAACTGCTGGAAGGGATGGCTGGCTTTCTACGTCTTCTGTATCTGGAAATGTCCACCATGGAGACATACTCAGTGTCAGAAACATGACCCTGTGCATGGGTGAATCTAAGATATTTGAAATGCAGCCTTCTCTTACTGACCATCAGCAGGCTCTAGGGTTTCTTAGATATGTCCAGAAGAGCTGAAAAAATTTCGAGTAGTCAGGAAAAATACTACAAAGATATCTTACTTTTGTAAGTTTTGCAAAAACAGATGACATGCAGGATACTGTATAAGAGGATCATGCAAGTGAGGGGTCTGAGGCGGGAGTTTCTTACCTTCACTACAGCGCCCCTTCTGCTCATAGCCAACCACACTTCCAGGGGGCTGGTATTCGCCTCATTTCACAGAACGGTGCTATGTAAAGAGAAGAGTTACCTTCATGGATTCTTGAGTGTGTGCCGGCATCTCATTTCATCCTCGCGAAACCATGAAGGAGAGAGGACTAGTTTCCTGTGGCTGCCATAGCAAACTGCCCCGAACTTGCTGGCTTAAAGCAACAGTTCTAGAAGCCAGAAATCTGAAATCAACGTGTTGGTGGGGCCGTGCTTCTCTG